GATTTTGGTTTAAACGCTTTCGTGATGGAAATTTCGACTTAAAGAACGAGCCACGAGGAAGACCGCCCACACAGGTGAATAACGATGAATTAAGAGAGATAGTGGAAGCCGATCCTAGTCAAACTACCCAGGAATTAGCGGCATGGTTTAACGTTACCTTACCCACAATATTGACTCACTTGCGTCAAATCAATAAAATAAAAAAATACGAAAAATGGGTGCCTCATGATTTGACTGATCTGCAGAAAGAAACGCGTGTTGAAACGTGGGTTGCCTTGTTGAACCGGTACAGAAATGAAGGAATATTGGATCGAATTGTAACATGTGATGAAAAGTGGATTCTTTATGATAACCGGAAAAGAAAAATGCAATGGCTGACCCCAGGTCAAATGCCACAACAGTGTCCTAAAGCAAAACTTACCAATAAAAAGGTAATGGTAACTGTTTGGTGGTCTCAGCATGGTGTTATTCACTATAGTTTTCTCCGATCTGGTCAAGCAATAACGGCAGATGTCTATTGTGCCGAACTCCGAACCATGTTGACAAAACTAGCAGTAAAACAGCCCCTACTCATGAATCGATCTTCACCATTATTGCTCCACGACAGCGCGAGACCTCACACAGCACGAGAAACCATTTTGACCCTTCAGGAACTGCAGTTAGAAACCATTCGTCATCCTCCGTATTCACCAGACCTTGCTCCAACGGACTACCATTTTTTTCGTGATTTGGACAATTATCTACGTGACAAGAAGTTTTCTTCCCAGGAGGCAGTACAAAATGCTTTCACACAGTTTGTGCAGTCTAGATCGTCGGAGTTCTATCGCAAAGGCATTAATAACCTTCCCATTAGATGGCATCAATGTATAGATAATAATGGCAACTATTTTGATTAAATAAATTTGTTAAATATTTAAAAAATAAACAATTTAGATTTTCAGTACAAATCGGCAATTTCATACTTTAACCCCTATTACAAAGATCGAACACTCAGAAAAAATTCCTTCGATCCGGCCGGATTCGAACCGACGTCTTCTAACATACCGTGCGAGAATTTTAAGTATACCGTAAAAAATTTAACCTACGGTCATTAGTACTCAAAGAACCACATTTGAAGTTGGTTTTACAATAGTAACCTTACATCCCGTCTGCATAAACGTATATCTAAATGTTACATAGACATGCAAATTTTTACTTATTTCTTGCATAAGTTGAGCCCCCCCTTGCCCCCTTGCGCCATACAAAATGTAATTAGCCTAGTCCCCCACTGCAATGTCCCCTACAATCCTTCGCCAGCCCCCATCCTGTCCGCGGTCATTGTATGACTTATCAATAGGAGACCTCGACAGTTGAATTAATCCGCAATTGAAATATTTAGGGGACATTTTTAAGTATCTTTTTTTATTCTTATTGAGATTTGTTAAACTTTTAGCGACAAATTTAACGGTGCAAAAAAAGGTCGAAAATTAAATTAAAAAATATTTCAAATATTTTGAAGAATCTATGTTTGACCTTATATTGCACGTTTAAAACCATAACTTTAAAATAATAAGAAGAATTGAATTCAGGACAACTGAACTGTAAAGAAAGAAACAAAAACAAGGATTTACTTTTTGCCTCGTCTCATGTTACTCTTTCCTTTTCTTGAACGTTTCCGCGCTGCTGACGATCGGGATTCCATTTGATTCTGCTAAATATCCAATTAGCCAATATTTTCATTTCAATAAAAATATTCTTTCACAATGTGTATTTCATTCTTCGTATAGGCTTTAAGAGGGAAGAAAATGCATAGAATGGTGTTATCTATTGATTCTTGAGACTAGACTATGTCCATTCGAGTCCTCAATTAGTGCATTCTGCAGTTCACCTATAATGGAGTATTGGATTTATATCACTTGATCTTGCCAGCCAGCCAGTGCATAACAGTACAATCCAAATATAAGATTAGGTTGAGTTCAACGAGCAGTATATGGCCAAGCATTATTCTGCATTAAGACGCAATCGTCGTCGATAATTTGAGGGAAAAGGTACCCCATGCTTTCTTTAACTGATTTTTATTTAAAGATTTACTCTCAAATTCCTTCCACTGATGACCACCAAGTCTGTTAGAGCGACCTATCCACACTATTATTGATTCCTTAGTTTCATAATTTGATGGTATCGTTCCTACTTGCGTCTCCACAACCTTAAGGCTGCTAACAGATTGACTTCACGCATTAACTGCATGCAAACGATCTCGGCTGTATGAATTAATGCGTGAAGTCGTTATCCGAGACCTCGACTGCACGAAGTTGATGCAGCCGGGATCGATTGCAGTTCATGCGTGAGTCATTATCAGCTTTATGCACTCGTAGTCTCACTGTAAACCATCAGTCAATTTGTTAGTAGACCCCTTCTCTGAGTGGCACTGCAATCGCTATGAACAAGCGTGTCACTTGCAACCAAGTGCGTGACTTGTTCGTCCCGTCACTTGGTATCATAAAAAAAAACAAATTTCTTCAAGTTGACTTCTGGCTAGAACAGTGGTTAGACGTGGGATTCGACGAATCCAAAGTATAACGGTCACCTCTACCGGAAGGCTCACCTCCTCCACCTTTTCTAGCTAGCTTCTTCTTGTCACGAAAGAATATGTCTGAATCGTAGAATATGAAATCGTGATTTTTAACCCAGTTCAAAAAAAAAGGAGGAGGTTCTCAATTTGACACTATTGTTTACGCTTTGATCAAATATATTGGATGTTGAGCGATTACTTCGACATTATTTGTGAACCGATTTCGATGATTCTTTTTGTAGAGTCTTTTCAGAGTACCTCTGTAGTGGTTCCATTCAAATTTGAAGGAAATAGTCCAATTCTAAGGGTGGCAAATTTGGCGCTGAATTCGGATTAATGGATTTCACCCATTTTCCGATAACCGATTTCAATAAAACTTGGCAAATAGATTCCACAAACTTTTGAGGTCGGTTTATAATAATTAAAATATGCATCTTCAACATTGACTTGAATAATAAACTTTCGAGATTTGTAGAATGAGTAACTTAAAGGCAAGTATTACAAGTAAATAGTTGCTATTGCAAGAATAACATTATGTCCACGTTATGTAGCTGCAGCTATGTATAAAATATCATAATAGTGGTTTTCATACCGTTACCAATAAGTATACATAGATAAAATATACGTATATACTATTATATAGCACGATAGAGGGATGTTAAGGATTTGTAGCAAAGGCTGAAATTCAAGGGGGAGGGACCGAAACTTCGAGGGACGTCGTCGGGTCTTCATATCCAAATTCTTACCTATTATGCGCAACTTGCCTTCTTCACTCATTCACGTACGTAGACTACATAATGCAAGGACGTTTATTTTAGTTTAGAGAATGTTCTTATTCTTATTACATAACTATATAGTGGCATCATTTCTTGGATGATGATTGACTTCGCACTCGTAAAAGGCGATGTTTTCTTTTATTGGAATAAAGTAGTACATTATTAAGTATAAACTTAGAAGTAATGTTTTACAGTGTCTCTTTTAATTAAATATTACTGATACCTGTTAAAGGTTTAAAAGTAGAAAAGAATTTAGTTTTATTAAAACTGTATTTTAAGTCCGATGAACCTTTTTTAAAGCCCCTCCCAAAAACAAATTGGATATCCAAGAGCATAATCTATCCCTCCCCCATGGGGGTTGCCGGTTCGCCCCTAGGCCAGGGGGCTGCCGATGCCGGCTGGCCTCACGAGTATGTAAACTTGCCGGCTCATTCTAAATTCTGGACATTGGCTATTGATTTTGTGACCTCCCTTTATTTGGGTTGCGGAAAGTGTATTTGACAAGTATTCAGTAATAAATGTTTTTTCTTCTTAAAAATGGTATAGATTGATGTTGAAGTGTGATAGATAACAGAACTGAAACTTACTAAATATACAATAGCGACTAATTATATCACAACTTAGGAGCTGTACACACTAATGATCATTTTGCTAAAAAGGGTCAGAACCCGCCCCCCACCACTTGTGTTAGTTGTGTCGAAAATACTTCCCAATGATTTTCAGCATGTTCACGTGAGTTGATTGAAGCAATCAAAATTATTATACCAAATGACATTTACATTTATTGTTAGTCAAGTAGTTCGTAGTATCAATCGTATAGTATACGAGTATTAATAAACAGAAGTAAAGGATTTTCATAAATGTTGAATTACGTGTGCGAATATTAAAGCTGTCTTAAGAAAATTAACTACTACATTAAATAATTTAATGTACACAATGAAAGTTCATAAGATTATCAATATACATATGCTTGAAGTGATAGATGATATTCAACTTTTTTCAAATTTGATGTTGATTCAAAATTGACGTAGTTTGATATGTTAAAAATCGTTCTTTGCGTTTTCCTTACCATGTTACGTTCATGGATTTTTGGGGTAACGCCTACCGCTGCCTTACCCCTCTGGAATTGGATTTCCCCCACTAAACAGAAAATGTAAAAATAGAATATGACCTTACGACAGACACGGGGAATATCTTACAAATTAGATAGGTACTTAGTGTGTGGAAATGTGTGTACGAGTGTTTAGTACGAGTTTCTTGTTTCTAATTAATTGATATATTTAAAAAGTGAAATATGTTTCGCTCTGGGGAGAGCATTACATAAGAAACATGAAACTTCAGTGGTCAAGTACTTAGTATATATAGCAAGTAGATACAATCGAGGGTTCATAAAGCTAGTTATTTTGGCATTTGTACCGTTCTTATTGCAAGGAGCTTAGAGTTGAATTTAAATCTTAAGTGTCAAGCTTAGATACGGGTTCTTTACCCTGTACGTGTTAAAGCGAAAACACTTATATGTTGTTTCGCTTATATGCAAGTACCTATGTTTGATCGGAGATGATGACGCCTTGACAACGTGTATTTGTGAAAGAAATTAGTACTCGTAATAAAATGTTTAAACGAGTGAAACGAACTTCTATGGTTTTATAAAAAATATATTGTTGTGAACTCACCTCTACCGCATTCGGAGCAGATTTTATCCTTCTTCATATGCGTAAGACCATGTAATTTAAGGTGGTCTCTGCGTTTATAGGTCTTGTAGCAGACTGGGCACGCGAATGGTCTCTCTTTATCTACGGGAGGATTTATTTGCACGGTTTCGACCATCTGAAAAAGAATTACTTTTATTAAACAAGTACAATGACCTACAAACTTAATGCACAGTACAAATATTACCTCTTACTTCATTACGCAGAATAGGTACCATTACGTCGAGTTGCAAAGAGTAAGATGGTTTCTCTACCATACTAAAACTCTACTGCTTTTATTGTGACTATTGCAACGGATTTATGTCCTTCAGTGGGTCAGCGGAGGACGTAGTACCATGACATCCTTTGGGGCCCAACACTACTGTGGGCGGTGGATGAGGAGGTCCCGGGTTCATTTCCCGGTTGGGCCAATAGGGACATAAACTTTTCTAACTAAATTGGTTCTAGTCCGGGTATTCTGGGAAATACTCCAAAGTTCAGTTGCTCTGATGTTCACAGTACAGAAATTTCCCTAGTTTGAGACCAGGTAGTTGGTGTCGTTGTCTGGCACATTATTATTATATATTATTATTCTATGTAAAAAGTTACAGTAGAAATTTGTCTTGTAGCATTGACTCGAAGAATTTAAAGGACCTAAATGTTAAACAATTGAAAGCGTCACAGCGAGTATGAAATTGCTAATGTAGGTGAATTACGCAAAAACCATGACGTCATCATTGCGTTATAGCTTTCCCCAGATATTTTATTTTTAAAACTTTGCTGCTTTATTTGCAAAACAATATTATTTATAGTAATAATAATGCTTTTACATAAGGAAAAACCGAGTTTAACTTAATATCTTAATGTCCAGATGGGATCGCCTCAATAAAATAAAATACAAATATACTTTATTGCACATAAATACCAAAAAAAAAAAAAAAAACAGGCACCGCCTCGTGAGTGGGAAAACTTTATTCCTAACAGTTTTAAAATTTTTTTAAAACTTTTATAGGTATGCGTCGATTATTTCTAAAGTGGTCTATGTCGACCTCCCCGGGGTCATCTCCGACCTAGACGGGTCCACGTCAGCGAAAAAAGGAAATAGGGGGTGTATAAGGTGGCGGTCCACGAAAGTGGAACCCACTTAGGCAGATCGTGACTAAAATTTTGGTTTTCCATAAATGGAATAATCTACATAACACAGATAGTACAGTATAATAGACAGTATGTAAATAGGTACATACATATACTTCACGCCTTTTTCCCATCGGGGTAGGCAGAGACAACAGTCTTCCACTTGCTACGGTCCTGACACACATCTATCGCCTCATCAACACGCATCAATGCTTTCATACACGCTCGTCGGTTAAGGGTACTCTTGACCTGGCCCTTCTTTAGGATGGCCTCAATTTGGTCATGATAAGTTCTCCTTGGTCGGCCCATAGCAACTTGCCCGCTCACACTCGCCTTATAAATCTGTTTCGTCACTCTTCTTTCATTCATTCTCTCTACATGTCCGAACCATCTAAGCATCCCTTTCTCTATCTTTGTCACTATATCTTCTTCCACGCCGTAACGCTCTCTTATCACACTGTTCCGTAATTTATCCATCCGAGTCACTATGTACATAGGTACATACGTAATACTTTTTTATAATAGGCATAAATGTCCTGTGAATGTAACATTTCACAAGAAACAAGTTAAATGGATATATATTTAGTCCAACTACCAAATATACCAAGTCCTTTTTTTATAAATTTTCCCACTATATATGACACTAACTTATGAAAGTGTTTAGGTAGCAAAAATGTAATAACAATAATAATAACGCACACACTTAACATAGCCCCGTACTAGGGAAACCTTGTGCTGAGGACACAAAATAGACAACCACAAATTACACCCAAACTCACGAGAGCAATAAATGTAGGTCATACAAATATTTTCTCCCGGCCCGGGAATCGAACCTAGGACCTCTGCGTGGCAGTCCGGCATGGTAATCGTTCGATCACGGACGCAGTTGTTTGAAAACATCCGTATTAGAAAGGCAAGGGGTCTACGCAAAACAGAAAAAAATCGAACGTGGTTTACGAGAAAAAAGCCTGATGTACATTGAATAGGAAAAAAAAATCTATATGCAACCGTGGGCGTAAAACATACCTGCATAACTTCAGCTTGCTGCTCCTCCGTAAGCACAGGTTTCACGTCCTCGTCCAAGATTTCTTGCTTGATCTCCCTTAGCTCCTGGTCGCTGACCGGAAAGATATTCTGTTCTATAAACAGTTTGTTGTGAGTCTGCAGGTGCTTTTGTAGGTGGTCCTTGCGGTAGAAAGCTAAGAAAAAAGTTTGCGTGTTACATTTGCGCGATATTTTGGAGTGCTGCTGCACAAGTTGAAATCCATAACCTATCTTGTGCGTAAATCGCGTATAGCGTGTTCTATGTAGAATAGTACGATTGGAAAAAATCCCTTGAGTTTTGTAACACTATTAAGTAGGGAGAGAAGTTACTACGTACATAAATTTTAAAAACTGTTTGAAATTTAGGTGAATAAATAAGTGGAAGGTATATTGGAACTATACAGAAAACGAATATCTATTTTCTTTATTCCCGAGTTTAGCCTGTGTACCTACATCGCTGGCAAAGCGGGCACACTTGGTTCTTATCGCCGCTGTGAATGGCGCGGTGGATGTTCAAGTGCTCTTTTCGTTTAAATCCCTTGCCGCACTCGGAGCAAATGTGCGGCCGAATCTCCTGATGTCCTAAGAGGTGTCTATCAAGGTGTTCTTTGCGTTTCAGTCTGTTTGGATGAGGTAAAGAAATTTCGATTATCGATAAAAAATCAAAGATCTCGATAAAAATGTTGCAATAACTTATATGAGTGTTTGGTAGCATAGATATAAATACAGGAGTAAGCATTATCAGGACTACAACAAGACGTATTAAATTTTAACTCTAGAGGCAGTATGATTTATTTTTTCATTCTAAAAGAACTTAGGTTTGTTTCTTACTCCGTGATCGATAGCGCTCTATAAGATGTACAATAATTCCTTTCACAAATCTTAACAGGAAAACTCACCCAGTACCGCAAATAAAGCACAAGAATCTGTATTCTTTAAAGTGCGTGCACAAATGTACTTCCAATTTCTCCTTATCGTCGTATTTAGCTGGACACTGAATGCAGCAGAACCGCACACCTTCTGGGGAGTCGACTATGAGAGCTAGCCTGTTCTTGGGGAGCAGGCTGCGTTGAAGCGCTAGCTCCATCGAGTTTATGTTTTCTGTAAGGAAATTCCTGTTGGCGTACTATGGTCTAATGTTGTTGTGTAAGGTGTAGGTAGGTACACATGGGTAATTCATTTAATTTTCTTCGACTCAGAATATATTAACGTAAACATTTATTAATGGTTGGGTGTGTCTTTTATTAAGCTGTTATGTAAAAAAGAAAAAAATAGTACCGAGAAAAAGTAAAAATAATTTTCCAAAGTATTGAATATTGAATTGTAAGTTTCGTAAATAAGAGACAAATAACGGATTGTTTAGGTTGGAATACTCGTAGGTATATTCGGTACTTTTAGAAATGCTGCAACGATTGGGTAACAATTATGTACGTAAATATTGTGCAGTGTTTACGTTACACAAGTAGGCAGATATTTGATAGTTATTTATAAAAGAAATTCATTAATATACAATATTATAACAATGGAGGCACCTGCATTTAAAAGTGTAATAAATAAATAAAAATTGTAAACAGAGAATATAGTAGGAAGGATTATCTTAAAATTAAACAGAATTTAAAATAAATAAAAAGTATCAAAGGCACAAAAAGCACTTACAAGATTTCTTTACAAAAACTTTCCCACACTCGCACAAGCCGTTACCAAAGAGACAAGGGGCCAAAAAAAACCGAACTTGAAATAGTGATCCCTTCCCCTCCCATCCTTCCAACGGATATCGCCCAAGGCCCAGGCTCCCCTACGCAATAGGGGTGACTACCCTTTGTCTACCCTAACTTCCCCTATACACGGGAGGGGACCCCACTTCGGACCGATAGGAGGGTGGGCTTACCTTACCCTTACATCGATTCAAAATCCTCTACCTGGGTCCCAAATACGATTTATAAAATGTAATAATAATAGGCTCTGCTTGCTGCTGCACGATTACTAATGTACATACAATACCTACTTAGAAAATATCTAAATAAAACCTGTATTGTGTATTTGTTTTCATATTCCGGCGCGAAAAAGTTTCCGAAAAAAGTGGCTTTGTAACTAAAAGTTCATTAAAAGACCTACAACAAGTATGGCTCAGATTACTTACCATAAAATGAATCCAATAAACTACAATTTAAAACATATAATGTAAAGTATTTTCACTTTTTATCTGAGTAAATCAAACACTCCCCAACAATAAACGCGACATGCTCCCTCTAACAAAACTCCGAATGTGACTGGATAGAATGAATGAGTGATTAATTTTGAATAGAATGATTAACCGAATAATTTGACAGTGCCAAAAGATTGAATGATTATTTGCGGTTAAAACAGTTCACATCTGCACAATTTGTCAACAGTAAAAGAAATAAAACATAACTAGGTTTCTTTTTTTTTTCAAAATGTAGTGAGCAATATGTCTGACAATTAATTAATTATTGTGTTCTTGAATTTTGCGCGTTACGCACGTGTTTTTTCTCTTTTTAAGTAAAGTTATATTTATTTCGCTATGGATTACAATAACAAACTTGAAAAACTGGCGTTACAATTATTCAGCGTAGATGCTGTGAAGTTTGGTGATTTTATAACAAAAAGCGGGATAAATACACCGGTGTACTTTGACTTGAGGGTCATTGTTAGTTATCCTGACATAATGGTAAATGTTTGGCATTGTGTAATAATTTAGATATTCTATCAACTTGAGTTACCCGATCCTGGGTCAATGTATGATTTTTTCATTATTAATAGGTATAAATTTTCAGGTATTGATAACTACACTCCTGTACGATATTGTAGTCAAGGATGCAAAATGTGACCACCTTTGTGGTGTCCCATACACTGCATTACCAATTGCTACACTTCTTAGCATTCAGGCAAAAATACCAATGCTAATGAGGCGAAAAGAGGCTAAAGGGTATGGTACTAAAAAAATGATAGAAGGTCACTACAAACCTGGTCAAAAGTGTCTCATAATTGAAGATGTAGTCACATCTGGGTCAAGTATTTTAGAAACTGTAAAAGACTTACATAAAGAAGGTCTCATAGCTACTGAAGCTGTAATTATTCTTGATAGAGAGCAAGGTGGACGTCAAAATCTTGAGGCAAATAAAGTACACATGAAATCTTTGTTTACAATGACAAAGTTTATTGAAATCTTATTAGGCCATGGCAAGATCACTAATGACACTGCTGTTAAAGTACAAGATTACTTGAAAGGCACCCAAGCTCCACCTACTGGTATGTATTAAAACTCAAAATTTAATATTTTGTTAAAAATTGTGATTGAGAGTTACATGTTGAACCAAATATAAATATAATTTAAGGCTTTTCAAAATAGATATTAGGTTTTGCTTTTGTTATCTTAATTATGATCAGAATATTGATTTACGGCAACGAAAGGTGAAAAACTTAATGTGAACATCTATAACAGATACATCGAAGAATTTCGACAGCTTGTTAAACTCGACCTGTAGCTTAGTTGGAAGAGTAACAAGGATGGAATCCCGTGGTCATTGGCCTCGACGGTTTAGGGCCACAATGAGAAATGACAACAGTTAAAAAGGACCACTTTTCAAATTGACCATTTCTTGAACTGACCACTTCTTGAAATGACCATTTAATTTTTTAATTATAAATTGGTTTTTTACTATTTTTAAGCCCTTTTGCCAATTTAGGACCATGCCCAGACATTTATCTAAACTAAAAATGAAAATGAAATGTTTGAAATGTTTTATTCACCTGTTTTTATGAAATGGTTTCAAAATCCTTTTTGCAATGGATGGAGGGACTTTACCCTCCAGGGCAATAATAAGCAATATCTAATATATATACTTAAAGGTCCATGGTCAAACTTGTGGTAGTGTTCCTAATCTGAAGCCGAAACATATTGAATTGTAAAAGTAGTCAATGCAAGAAGTAGCCATTTCAAGAAGTGTTTTTTTGTAGAAGTAGCATTTAAAGAAATGGTAACTTCAAGAAGTGGTTATGAACCATAATCCATAAATCAATAATAAATGTTGACTGTAAATATTAAATATATGTTGTATTTCAGAATCTACAGTGAACCGCATATTGCTTCCATACGAAAAACGAGCTGAGCTTGCAACTAGTCAAATTGCCAAACGACTTTTTACCATAATGGCCACAAAAAAGTCCAACTTATGCCTATCCGTTGACTTGACTTCTTCTACAAAGATACTTGATTTATTAGAGAAAGTTGGGGAGCATGTTTGCTTAGTAAAAACGCACATTGATATTATCGAAGATTTTACTGATGTTTTTTTGAGGCAGCTTAAGCAACTTGCTGACCGTTTCAACTTCTTAATACTAGAGGATAGGAAATTTGCTGACATTGGTAATACAGTTTCTTTGCAATATTTGAAAGGCTTGTACAAGATTAGTGAATGGGCAGATTGTGTGACTGCACATTCATTACCTGGTGAAGGAATTTTAAAAGCCCTTAACGGCTGTGTGAATGGTGTCAATAGAGGTGTGTTCTTACTGGCTGAAATGAGCTGTGAGGTAATAAATATTTTGTCTTTCCTAAATATATATTTTTTCAATCATCAGTAACATATGTAATTATAAATATCAAACTGTAATACAGCTTTTTTGTTTTAATTGCAGGGTAACCTTATTAGTCCAGATTATACTGAAGCATCAGTTAAAATGGCAGAAAAATATCCAGACTTGATAACCGGCTTTGTCTGCCAAAAGAAGGAAACATTCAGTGATCCAGGTCTTATCCAGCTCACACCTGGTGTTCAACTAGAAAGCACTAAGGATGACATGGGTCAAGTGTATAATACTCCAGAGAAGGTGGTCCTGGACAATGGTGCTGATGTTATTGTGGTAGGGAGAGGTATAGTTACAGCAAAAAGTCCAGAAGCTCAAGTTGTCATCTACAAAGATACTCTCTGGAAATGTTATTTGAAAAGAGTATCAGGAAAAATAGAGTAATGCTTTATTTTTCAATTGATATTCACTACCTAGTTAAGTTTCCTTTGTTAGATTGAGATGTTATTTGATATTTATAAAGTGTTTGTTGTACTCTAGCATGGTGTGCAATAGTCCAATAGTAAAATAAGCTGCACGTCTTTTATAGACCATTTATAATAATATTTAAAATCAATTTTGATGATTTACAAAGCAAATTTGTATACATATATTTGCACTAAATTTTTAGTTGCTTTTTAAATTGCTAGAAATAATTAATTAACAACATATCACTTTGTGCACAGATAGTATATGTCAATAAGTATTATATAAATATCATACGTTTATGTCTCTGTGAGACACATGTCTAGAGATTATCATAATTCATAATCAAGAGTCAGTAATTAAAAACTTTGAAGTTTATTCTAAGTTCAGTCAAGTCTGCTAGGACCAATATTTAATGCTGTGGTAATCTGTTTCGGTGCTATACTGATGCCAAACATTATACAATATCTTGTCGTTTCCATACATTATATTCCAATTAAATAAATGTTTCTCAAAAAAGTATGGGTGTAATTTTTTTGCACGTGTTTTTCATTCGCGTCTATAATGCATGTAAAGAATTTTCCAAGTAGGAGGCGGTCACGGGTTCACGCCTTCTTTGTGTACCTTATTTGAAGGGATGACTCATACAGAACGCGTTTGTACATTCATACATACATACCACCTTTGTCAATGTAAAGGATCCAGGAGGTCTACCACTAAATAGTGTGTTACGGGGGGCCTCTAAATAAAAGAAGGAATACCCTTGTAAACAAAATTTATTTGGGCGCGGTTCGTTATTTTAAAACCCAACGGTTATTCACTGAACTTTTGCCTTCCTACGACCAGCAGCTGGTACTCCCCTGGCTGTTCCGCCGAAGTAACGTCCGGGGTTGAAGTAACCAGGACAGGACCGGATCCGTCCGCCGAAATGAAGTCCGGGGGTGCGGGTTGAGAGTGTCCGCCGCGCCGAATAGATGTCCGGGGCACGGTGTCGCTCTCTGGGCTCAGGCCAGCCGACGAGGAGAACGGTAATAAGGTACCGGAACCTCGGACTCTGGAATACCCATTGGTCCAGTTAGCACTGTCCACGGTTTGCTCCCCTGATTGTGACAACGGCAGTGAACAAAGAGGTGGGGAAAAGCACCATGTTATGAATGCAGTGTTGCGTAATTGTCACAATCAGAACGGAGTAACATGGAAATTCCAAAGCATTTCAAATTACAAAAAATAGACAAACATTACAAAATCAAAAAAAACCGTTACGACTACAATTTAAATAGGCGTTACAAGAAGGCATAATATAGGTAAAAGAAAGTTACGTGTTCAACACTTACCAAACAAGTGGGTATAAAACACAAACGATTTAAATACTTTAAATTACAAAAAAAAATTAACTTTGCGGAAATCGCTATTAGAAGAAAATGCGCGTGCGTCTCTCTTCAAGATAGATTTTGGAGTGAGCCGTCGTCCAAGCGGTAGCGGGACAGCGGCTTGCCTGATACCCCGCAAAGGGGGCGAGGAACCGAACCAGTTGTCGCCTATAAAAAATGGCTTGCGCGCATTCCTCGTTCGATATCTCTAAGTATACGTTCCACTGTTGGACACGGGACTCTTCCGAATACATCCTAAATAAAATAAATAAAATATTATTAATTTACTACGTTACAATACCCCCGCGCGCAGTGAAGGATTTTATTGTTTTCTTAAAATAAATAAAATCCGCATTGAGAATACAGTAGTAGTAGCAGCGGAAACGCTAAAGCAATCTGCGTACCAGGCTTAGGCTGATGCTCGAGATCGCAAAGCACCGGAAACCCTCCGTCTGAAGAAAGCCTTTAATAAAGCCGCTAGATCCTGCAAAAAAGCGATACGGAAAGCTCGCTTCGGCCATATTAGTCGTATTGGGGTCAGGTTAGCTTCATACCCATCAGGGAGTAAAGCATTCTGGTCACTCGCTAAATCGGTCGAAGCGAGTTTCTGCAGGTCATCCCTTCCGCCTTTAATGAGAGATGACGGATCGCTGGCTCATACCGCTGAAGAGAAAGCAAATCTTTTTGTTTCTCTTTTTGCTTCCAACTCCCGTCTTGACGCTACTTTGCAAACACCACCTACACTACCTCGATGTGACTCGGAAATGCCCGAAATCACTATCCGTCAAAAAGAGGTGTTGAAAGCTTTACGCAAATTAGACGTCAACAAAGCCAGTGGCCCTGACGGAATCCCAGCGATTGTCCTGACGGAGTCCCAGCGATTGTCCTGCGGAACTGTGCACCCGAGTTGTCTCCGGTGTTGACTCGCCTGTATCGCCTCTCTATGAGTTCTGGACAAGTCCCGAAATCCTGGAAGCTTGCAAATGTACAGCCTGTACCTAAGAAAGGTAGCCATGCCGACCCATCTAATTATCGACCTATCGCAATCACCTCCATACTCTGTAAGACTATGGAGCGTGTATTGAACAGCCGTCTCCTTGGATACCTCGAAGATAACGATCTCCTCAGTGATCGACAATATGGTTTTCGCCGTGGACGCATGATAGCCTGTTAAACAAGCTTCCAGCTTACGGAATTCCTGTTGGCTTTTGCACATGGATAGGCGATTTCCTGAAGGATAGGTCAATCCGTGTAGTTGTAGATGGTTACTCGTCTGCTCCTCATGGTATAAATGCCGGTGTACCTCAGGGATCTGTCCTCTCCGCCACTCTATTCTTGCTGCATATCAACGACCTGCTGCTGATGCCCGGTATCTTTGGGTACGCAGACGACAGCACAGTGGCGGTGAGTTATGTGCCAGACGCCCGAGACAACAGTGAAGAGGTCCGGTGTAAGCGAGAGGCGATGGTCACCCGGTTGAACCTGAGTCTGAAAGCTGCTTCCGACTGGGGAGATGCTAACAGGGTCAGGTTTAATGCGGCAAAAACACAGGGGTGTCTTTTCTCATCAAAACGGAGTCCCCTACACCTTACTCCGACTTTCCGAGGTGTATCCGTGCCGATAAGGGACCACCTTGAGCTACTTGGTCTGGACTTATCATCCAACCTCAACTTTGGGCGATACATCGAGTGCTTGGCAAAAACTGCTGCCAGAAAACTAGGCATACTTTTCAAGGTCAGGCGGTACTTCACACCTGAACAGCTTTTAAATCTGTATAAAGCACAAGTTCGATCCTGTATGGAGTACTGCTGCCACCTTTGGGACGGCTCTGCCCAATACCAGTTAGCTGCCTTGGACTCGGTGGAGCGTAAAGCAAAGAGACTTATTAACAATAATCCTCTTGTGGAGTCGAAGCTCCAAAATCTCGATCATCGCAGAAAAGTAGCCTGCTTGTCGGTTTTCTATCGGATACATTTCGGGGAGTGTGCGCAGGAACTTTTCAATTTGGTTCCGCCCTCACCGTTCCTCCTTCGGTCGACTAGAAGGTCCGGAGCACTCCATTCTTATGTTGATATTCCACCTATTCGCACTAAGCGCTTTGCCTCCTCCTTTCTGATGCGTACGGCAAAGGAATGGAATGCTCTACTTCTGCGTGATGTGATGCGGCATCTGTATTTCCCGAAAAGTACAATTTGGGGCTATTCAAGGCTAGAGTGAATAGGCATTTTTTAGGCAAACGCGTCCCATCGTCTGTCACATCGTCGCTTAACATCAGGTGAGATTGTGGCCAAGCGTGTGTCTATTATATATTAAAAAAAAAAAAAAAACCTGCTTAACACGATCATTAATATCATAAGTATTTCATACATCTCGCTCAACGAACATAAATCAGAAACTGTACAATTACAGTATACTAAGTTTACTGACTCCTACACACAACATTAAAATAGGTATCTAGCTTATTGTACTAGGGACCTTGCAAATACTTGTCTCAGTTAGAAAAGGAGCGCGAAGGAATAATTTTGCAAAAGAAAAATAGAAAGAACTTAACTATTTATTAACACCAACTAACTTCAAATCTTTAATGTGCCAGGTGCCTAGGTCTTTACCGTTCATATATCCTGCAACACATAAACTAAGGGTGACTTTTTAGTGATAATTTTAGCCTTAATGAATTTTGGGGCCAACTTTTTGGAAAAACAGTTATCCTTGACACTTAAGAAGTAAGCTCGCTTCATAACTATGTCACCAACGTTGAACTCGGCAAATTTACGTCTCAAATTGTAACGTGTAGTGTTTTTTTCATGGGCCTGCCATAGCCGTTTTTGTACGTCATCGAAAATAACGGACGGGGCGGGGGGGCTCTAGTAGCCGTGGTCGATTTCATCCCACGGTGAAGCTAAGAGGAACCCACGGGGCCGGCCGATGGTGGTAGGCTGGCCCGAGGAGGAGGGCGCTCCGCGCGGGCCTCGTCTGGTCAGCGGGACCGCGCGGATGCGCAAGGAGGAGGGTCGCGGGGGGAGAGACGTGTCGGTGTGTCGTTGCCGCTCGTCCTGTCCTCCGCGACCCTGGCGGGGCTGCACCGCTTTCGACGATGCAGTGGCGGCGGGGCCGCGGGGGAAGAGACGTGTCGGTGTGTCGTTGCCGCTCGTCCTATCCTCCGCGGCCGAATGTGGGCGGTTGGCCCGTGGTGGGCGCTCCAAGGGACTCTCTTCGGAGAGTCCGCGCGGAAGCGCGTTAGGTGTTGCGGCGGAGCCTGTCATCAGATCCGCCGCAGGGGCTGGGGGAGCAGCCACTGAACTTCACAGTTGAGTGGATGCTGTCCTGGCCCCCATGGCCCCTGGGTAGCGGACTCGGGGGAGTTCGCTGCTCAGCATAAAGGGGCCCGGGATGGAAGGCTCGTCATGTGTTCGGCGAACATTACATTACATTCGGAGTCGGGGGACCGACGTGTCTCCCTTCTCGGGGAGGGGCTGCGCAGGGCGCGGCCAGCCGCTGGTGGGGGCGCGGACGAGTGCAACAGCGTACCCGTACCCCCATCTACAGCGGAGAGGAGGAACACTCCGGGGGTTTAGTGCGGTCGGGCTGCTCCCCTTCAGGGTTCAGCCCAGTCCCACATAACCCCTGCTCTGCCCCCGCGGGGCCGGGGTATCTGTAAGCAGATTCCCCCGGATTAACAAAAAAAAAAAAATAGGTTATGAATGGTCCGCAGCACAACCACATTGAATGAATATTTACGACGAAACTAATGATATAGGTATTTCTTAAATAAAACTAGAATTTTATAGATATTATATCTCATAGATATTTTTGAAAAAATAAAAACTTATTAAAGCTTATGTGGTTCTGCCCCGGAGTATGACGCAAAAAACACCTGTAATTTTAGTATACTGATCGAA